AGAAGCTGATTCGCCCGTTCAGGACGTCTCCCCGAGTTACGCTGGGCATTCGAACGGAGCTGCAGGTTTTGGGAGAAGCATTCGCCGCGCCTGTGGGTGGAGCACCAGGGTACCCTAGGTGCGTCTGGAGCTTTCTGTTGCTGTTTTACGGTCCTTTGCACATAAACTGAATGTTCCCCACGCCCTCCCGGGAATCCGCCACTTAGAAAGATGGTGACAGGTTTAGGGGAAGAAAATCCCTCCAATGTTCCAAATGCCATTAAAGAAGGCGGGGAGGCGTCGGGGACGATGCCCAGAAGAAATACCCCGTTTTCTCTATTCCCATGGGAGACAAATGTGACTAAAGAAGGAAGTCAAGACAGATGCTGCTCCCTGAAATACGGGCACGTAACAGCTGTCGGGGCTGCAGATGTTTTTATAAAGAAGCACGTGTCTGCAATTGCACCTCAGAACCGCACTCGGGATTCCAGAGGTGGGCGGAGACAGGGCCTTAATCCATCAGCTTCAGCATCCCCCCGCCCCTCCAGCTCTGAATGGTTCCGACAGGGATTTTTAGGCAAATCTCTCATCTGCGTGTGAGACGTGCAGACTCACAGAGCCTAATGGATGGGTCTCTCACGCCTGGAGGAAGCATGGCTGCACAATGCTGCTCAGAATCGCTCGACTTAGTGGAGTCGGCCCTCCACGCTGAACCCCGGGGGACTACTAAATGCGGACGCGTGTGCGCATGCGCACATGCACATGCACATGCACGCATTTATGCACATAGAGAACCAACCCCTACTCGCACGGCCGGTTAGAGCTTACAAGGCGCTCCGTAAATACGTTTTGTTCCAAGTCACAAAGGGCGGGACTGTTTCTGCATCTTGCCGCGGGGCCAGATCTCCCTCGGGATTTGAGGTCCCGCATTTCTCACCACCAACAGGTTTTACAGACACACAAGGAGACCGAGGTCAGCCCAGGTTGCGAGCTATTTAAGAGCATATCTAAACGGGCTGGGAAACAAGGAACAGACCTGCCAAGCTGCCAGGTTCCTGGCAAAGAAATGGAGTTCTCCTTAAGGCGTCTGTGGCCCCCAGGACCCTCATATCCAGCAGAGGGGACGAGCCGGTGGAGGAGCAGCCCCCAGTGTCGGGAGTGCTTTGCCAGGCGCCCATCAGCAGTACGAGCTAGATGTACCACAGAGCCAGTTCTCCCCACGCCTAGGGCAGGTGGGGGCAGAGATTCAGAGCTGGGCAAAGCCCAAGGTGTGAGCTGTCACACATCTGTGTGAGCTGTCACCACGGCCTCTGTGAGAAATGTGCAGCACTCAGTCAGGTGCCATCCACGCCTAGAAGCCACCTCTAGGGTTTGCACCTGGAACTCCATGGTTACCTGTCAGGCAACCTGACCTGGCCTGGGGCAAAGCACCCCCCACTGGGCTCGACCCCCTCTCCACCTGGTGAGCTCCTGGGCAGGTTACCTGGGGGAGTGGCGCCGCCCTCAAACCATTGGAACCTCTTTTTAGGAGAGCTCTCCTCAGCGGGGGACGGAGCCTGAGGTAACCCTTTCCATAGCCTGTATGGCGACCACAGACAGCAGGGTGGTGAACCGCCAGCGAACTCCGGGCGCGGTGGAGTGTGTGCGCGCATGAAACGCTGCCAACTGCGCAGTCACGGACGGATCCACCGACTCCCCCCTCCCCCGCCCCCCGCAAAACTGGAGGCAAAGTCTGGGTCCAGAGCTGCTCTCCTGTGGCCCCCAGCGCAGGAGCTGGCGGTGGGAGAGGGAGGGAGAGATGAGGCAGACATGTACAGAAGGAAAATGCGAAAGAGAAAATAGAAATATAAAGAGAAGTAAAAAAGATTCGAAATATACAGAAAAGAGATGGAAGCGAAATACAGAGATGACATAGATAAATACAGAAAAGCGGAGCGGGAGATGGGACTGTGGGGCGGTGGGGAGCCAAACATACGGAGGGGCTGAGCGAGGTGATGGAAATAGGCAGAGAGAGGGACAGAGAGGGGGGAAGTCGCGATGGAGGGCGGGGAGAGATCCGAGGTGGCGCTGCGCGCGCGAGCGG